GCTGCCAAGCTGACCCCCACCCCTCTGTCACAGGCTTATATGGAGGACCACCTCCGCAACCGGGACCGGCTGGCCAAGGAGTGGCAGGCTCTTTGTGCCTACCAGGCTGAGCCCAGCATCTGCTCCATTGCCCAGAGCGAAGCCAACCTGAAGAAGAACCGCAACCCCGACTATGTGCCCTGTGAGCATCTCAGCCACCCTGCCCCAGGGACAGGCTCCCAGGGCTGTAGCAGGAAGGTGGTGCAGGGCACGGGGATGCTTGGGACCATGGCAGGCTGTGGTGCAAGTTTGCCGCCCAGCTCGCCAGGACACTGACCGCATCCCCTGGTCTCCGTTTCCCCAGATGACCACGTGCGGATCAAGCTGAAAGCAGAGAGCAACCCGTCCCGCAGCGACTTCATCAACGCCAGTCCGATCGTGAGTGATCACCGGCGGCTCCTGCCCTGCCGCCCTGCTCCATGATGTGCTCAGCCCAGGCGAGGCTCCCACTCTGGGATGGAGCTGGACTGAGCTCATATCCCTGTGGCCTATGGATGCGAACAATGTGCCTGCCCCATTGCTCAGATGTGGTTAAAATCCATTTCCTTCCTGCCTGCGGAACGCAAAGCTCCCTCCCCAGCCCTCCCATCGCCCCTGGATTATCCCCGAACTGCTCCCAGTGTCACAGACCCCTGGCTGAAGACAGTGCAGTCTGACACTCCTCCTTTCCTGCTCCAGATCGAGCACGACCCGCGGATGCCAGCGTACATCGCCACCCAGGGGCCTCTGTCCCACACTATCGCTGACTTCTGGCAGGTGAGCATCACCCAGCTGTGCCCACTGGGGTCCCTCTGGGTACTGCCCTCCAGACGGGTCACGGTGGCTCAGCCGCCCTCCTGCCTGGGCTGTCACCCAGCGGTGACACCCTCCATGCCTTGCCCGCAGATGGTGTGGGAGCACGGCTGCACCGTCATCGTCATGCTGAGCCCACTGGCTGAGGACAGCGTCAAGCAGTGTGACCGCTACTGGCCGGATGAAGGCTCCTCTCTCTACCACATCTATGAGGCAAGCGTGGCTGGTAGCCTGGGGCAAGGAGCATCCTCCACCGCCTGTCCCCCTGAGCGCAGCCCCCCCTGCCCGGCGCTGATGCCCACCGGCTGCCTCTCTCGGGCAGGTGAACCTGGTGTCGGAGCACATCTGGTGTGAGGATTTCCTGGTGCGCAGCTTCTACCTGAAGAACGTGCAGTCACAGGAGACCCGCACCCTGACGCAGTTCCACTTCCTCAGCTGGCCGGCCGAGGGTATCCCTGCCACCACCCGGCCCCTCCTTGACTTCCGCAGGTGAGCGCCCACCCGGAGCTGTGCCAGCCCCCAGGGAGCAGGCGCTGGTCCCAACCGCAGGTGACTGATGAGCGAGGGCATCGCTGCTCGTGTGATGAGGGTCAGGGCTGTGGCATGGGCCACCTGGGGGGGCAGGGGCCTGCTGTGAATGCGGGGGAGCAGAAGAACCAGGTTCTGGGAGGCTTGGGATGAAGCTCAGCAGAACTTGGTGGGCAAGAAACCTCCAGCTGAGGTTGCCAGGGCTCTCCAGCCTTCATGGGAAGGGTGGGAAAGTGCTCTTCCCAGAGCTGGCATGGGGGACAGTACTGCCTGGCACCTTCCCCAGCCGTGGGTGCAAGAAGAAACCCCTGGAGTCAGCTTTGGACAGCTGTGACCCATTGCTCCCCATGCCCTACGGCCAGCAGTGGGTCCCGAGCTAGCCTGGGGCTGGGACCGCTCCTAGGAGGTTTGCAGGCAGCAACTGCTGGGGTCTCAGGGTCCCTGGGTGGCAGTGAGCTCCTGCCAGGGGCTGGCTGGTCACTGTCCCCGGGCCACGTGGGGCCAGGGACCCTGCTTAGGGCAGTGGGGATGCCCCGAGCACCTCGCTCTCCTCTCCGCCCCGCTCACGCTCTCTGTCTCTCTGTCTCTCTCTGTCTCTCTCTCGCAGCTGCCGGCGTCATTTTTGTGATTTGCAGCTAGTAATCTGGCTCCAGTTGCATAGTCACAAAAGTGATCGTTGGCAGCCGTGCCTGCTGCATGGAGCATGCCGGGAGCCCCACCGGCGCCTGGCCCCCAGCTTCGCACCCCACTGGACCAGAGCTGCTCCCTTGGGGGTCCTGCCACTGCTCCCCTACCTGGGCTGGGCACCTGAGGAATCTGGCTCCTCTCCCTGTCCCCTTTCCACCCGTGGTTCCCATCCCATGCCCAGCACTGCTGGGGAGGCAGGGGGAGCTGTGCACCGGACACCCAGAGCCACATCATGGGGTGCTTGCTGCCCCCTCCCCGGCTCAGCACAGCGAGGGGCACCTAGCGCAGCCTTGGCCCTGGCGTGGCAGAGCACTGACCTGCTCCCTGTTGTTCTTGCAGGAAGGTCAACAAGTGCTACCGGGGTCGCTCCTGCCCTATTATCGTGCACTGCAGGTACTGCCGGGGATGGAGGTGGGGTACGGGCGGGGGGGGGGCTGCAAGGCTGGGACCTGCTGGCGAGGACCGGTCCCTGGAGCCCGTCCCTCTGGCCCAAGCATCCGTGTCTTGCAGTGACGGTGCGGGCAGGACCGGGACGTACATCCTCATCGACATGGTCCTGAACCGAATGGCCAAAGGTAGGTGCAGGGCAGCACCGCTCCTGTCCTGTCCAGGGGCTGCGGGGCCATGCGCTTGGCCCGTGGGCCCCCCCTCCTAGCACCCTTCTCCACTTCTGCCCCAGGGGTGAAGGAGATAGACATAGCTGCTACGCTGGAGCACATCAGAGACCAGCGGCCTGGCATGGTGCAGACCAAGGTACCCCTAAACTGGGGATCTCCTCCTTCCCTAAGCACATGCAGCCCCTGGGGCTGGGTTAGTGGGGACCCTCATGCCCCCTCCTCTGCTTCCCCAGGACCAGTTTGAGTTCGCGCTGACGGCCGTGGCCGAGGAAGTGAATGCCATCCTGAAGGCGCTGCCGCAGTGATG